TATATATATTTATACTGCTTCTCCTGTATTTTCCTCTATTGGTTACTTTTTGTGGATCCAATGGGGGATATGCTCCTATTAGAGTACTGTAAATTAAATGATCAGCCTCAACATTAAAACCACTGAGAGGTGAAGTGAATAACATTGATTATGGTGTTAAAATGGCACCTGTTAAGAGGTGAAATTTATCAGGCAGCAAGTGAACAGCTAGTTCTCAAATTTCATGTGTTGGAAGCAGAACAAATTAAAAGTGAAAAGATCTGAATGACTTTGACAAGTTATGACTAGATTTAAAAAAAAAACAGACTTGTGGGGTGTTCCCTGTATACAGTGGTTTGTACCAATTAAAAGTGGTGCAAGACAGGATAACCAGTGAACCGGTGTCAGGATTATGGGCACCCAAGGCTCATTGATGCACATGGGAATAAAGGATAGCCTGCCTGGTCCAATCACACAAAAGAGCTACTGTAGCTCAATTTGCTGAATACCCTAAATGCTGGCCATGATAGAAAGGTATCAGAACCCACAGTGCATTGCAGTTAGCTGTGAATGGGGCTGCGTAGTGGCTGACTTGTCAACATGCCCATGATGACCCCTGTCCACTGCTAAGAGCCTTCAATGAGGACATCAGCATCAGAATTTGACCATGGAGCAATGGAAAAAGGTTGACTGGTCTGATGAATCACATTTTAGATCAGATGGATTGCCAAGGTGTGTGTGCGTCATTTACCTGGGAAAGAGATGGTAGCAGGATGCACTATGGGGAAAAAGGCAGGGTGGCAGTGTTATGCTCTGGGCAATGTTCTGCCGGGAAACCTCGGGTCCTAGCATTCATGTGGATGTTACTTTGACATGTACCACCTATCTAGAGATTTTTGCAGGCCACATGCACCCCTTCATGGCAATGGTGTTCCTTGATGGCAGTGGCTTGTTTCAGCAGGATAATGCACCCTTACACATTGCAGAAACTGCTCAGAAATTGTTTGAGGAGCATGACAAAGAGTTCATGGTTGCCTTGGCCTACAAATTCACCAGATCTCAATGTGATTGAGCATCTGTGGGATGTGCTGGAACAATAAATTCAATCCATGGAGGCCCCATCTCACATGCATGACTTTAAGGATCTGCATTGAATGTCTTTGTGCCAGATGCCACAGGATATGTTCAGAGGTCTTGTGGAGTCCATGATGTCAGGAATGCACACTACTGCAAGAGTGTGCGTGATGTAGTTGTGGTGGTGAAAGTTCACTATTTGTCTGCACTAGACTGGAAATAATGATAAATACCCCCCTGAATACCACCCACACTAAACCATAAAAATATAATAACTATTACTATTTTAACACTGCCACCACCAAGACAATATGTAAATGGAGTGCCTTGACCCCGCAGGTAACTTAATTATAATAAAAACCCACCAAATACAACTTTAGCACAATATCTATGCACTTACAAAACACTAATTTGTCTCTTCAGGTAACGTGACTCTTTACCAGACAAAGGCAGAACTTACCGTATATACTCAAGTATAAGTCGAGTTTTTCAGCACATTTTTTGTGCTGAAAAACCCCAACTCGGCTTATACTCGAGTCAGTCTGTATTATGGCAATTATCATTGCCATAATACAGACCAGGACCGCCGGGCTCATTACAAGCCCGGCAGTCCTGTTGGGGGCTAACAGTGAGCTCTTACTTACCTTCCTGCAGCTCCTGTCAGCTCCCTCCTCCTCCCTGCAGCTCCCCGGTCAGCTCCGTTCTGCTCACAGTGTAAGTCTTGCGAGAGCCGCGGCTCTTGCAAGAATTACACTGTAAGCAGAACGGAGCTGACCGAGGAGCTGCACGGAGGAAGAGGGAGCTGACAGGAGCTGCAGGAAGGTAAGTAAGAGCTCACTGCCAGCCCCCCCACTGAACTGCCAATGCCACTGGACCACCAGCGATTTAATATTATTTTAATAATAATAAAATAATATTATTAAAATAATATTATTACATATTATTTTAATATTTGCATTATTTTTTTTAAACATTTAAAAAAAATAATGCAAATATTAAAATAATAATAATATAATAATAAAATAATATAATTATTTTAATATTATATTATTTTATTATTATATTATTATTATTTTAATATTTGCATTATTTTTTTAACAGGCAACAAGCAGGGAGGGGGGACAATAATGCAAATATTAAAATAATAATAATATTATTAAAATAATATAATATTAAAATAATAATAATAATATAATAATATAACAATAATATTAAAATAATATAATAAAATTAAAAAATTAAAATAAAAATGCCCTCCCCTCATCCAGTTTACACACACAGCACAAACACACACACTGTATTATATACACACTGCATTATATCCACACACACAACACACAAACACACACACACTGCATTCATTATATATACACACATAAACACACACTCTGCATTCATTATATACACACACAAACACACACTCTGCATTCATTCTATACACACACTGTAAATAAATATTCAATTAATGTAATTTTATTGGGATCTAATTTAATTCAGAAATTTACCAGTAGCTGCTGCATTTCCCACCCTAGGCTTATACTCGAGTCAATAAGTTTTCCCATTTTTTTGTGGTAAAATTAGGGGCCTCGGCTTATATTCGGGTCGGCTTATATTCAAGTATATACAGTAACAGAAATAAAGGAATATTTATTATGAGCAAAAACTAGTCACAGTGCATACAAAAATATAGATGACAATCAAATTAGTTACACCAACAACAGATAAAAAACAAAAAGGATAAAATAACAGAAGTAAAACTTCTGCCCAGGGGGTCTCTGGCAAGGAAGATGTTGACTCAATCAAAATTAGATTTTGGCCCCAAGCAAGTACAATACACATTTCAATATTATTGGAAATATACACCCTGTGGATTACCAAGCCTGGCTCAGAGATGAAGATAAGGCATACCTATAGAAACAATAAGTGACAACCAACAGACCAACATTAATCCAAATGAAAACATTTGGTTCTATCTCATCTTTTGTACTTGCCACAGAAATAATAATTACATATATGAATTTGTTACCATTTTCCCATTACATAGATATCCCTTACTTCGTACTTGTGACCTGATATAGCAGACATCACAATCCCTTCCCAAATGGTTTAAGTTACGCAAATCATGTTTAGGCTTGATTAGAAGATAGTGCTTGTCTCATTCGGGAACACAAGGGTTTTCTTGAAGGCTAATGACCATTAACATATCAAAGAAATGAACTATCAATTAGGAGTTTCAGGCCATATGGTCGAAGTCTGTTAGTTTACATTGAAACCAGACTTCCAGGCAACTTATGTGTCACTTCCCGCACCTTAAAGAGTAGCTCTGTTGGGCTTTAATACAATCAGATTAACCCCTTTTGAAATTGACAATACCAACTTTACCAGGTGGCCAATTCATATATGCACTACACAAATTACATTAAATGGCAATATTCTATAGTGCAACAATGAATTATGCACCCTTGCCGTGACACATGCCTCAACACATCGGAGCTGTTTTGGCAGCACGAGTTGGACCGAAACAATATTAGGCAGGTGGTTTAAATGTTGTAGCTGATCACTATTTGATATTATGTATATATTTTGCAGCACACTGATTTTCTCATTTGCTTGCCCTTTTTTTGCTCTTCTGAATAAGTTCCTGAATTGGAATCTTGGTTCCAAAATTCTACCAAGCTGAACCGACATTCTGGCAAAAACTTGGTTGTCCTGATCATTTTCTGTTTTTGGGAATGGTTCAGCTATGCCAAATTTTCTCACTGTGCACAAGTCTATTATTTTGTTATTGTTATATTATGGCAATAATCTCCGAATAATGTATCATGTTCCTCTTTTGTTGGATGCACCTATTGTCATTTATAACACTGCAATTCTGCCACCTGACACTTTAAATTTCTATATTAATCTGTGATATCACAAAATGTTTGTCCTTCTACATTGAAATGGATACTCTGATCACCAAAACAACTATAACATAATGAAACAGTTTTGGAGTAGAGATCATGCTCCTGCAGTCTAACTGCTTAATGCTCTGCCATTTAGAATGTAAGCTCATTTACTGTTCCTGTGCATCCAACTTGTCAGGTTACAAATACTTGTCTGTTAGTCCACCCATTGTACAGCTCTGCGGAATTTGTTAGCGCTTTAGAAATATCACTATTAATAATAAGTTTTGGGGGGCGGAGCCTAACATTTGAACCATACAGACGCATGGTTGCGAGCTCTGTTGCTATAATAGCAAATACAGCCAAATCTCACAATCTCGGTGCCGAGAAAAACAACCCCCAGACACATACCTACCATGTGGCGGAAAAAGAAAAAGCAGAAACCGGAGAAACCCAGGCCAGGTTCATGGGGCCTGCGGATCCAACCTAGAGGACTACTCAGACTCCTCAGAGGACTTCACCCTCCATGAGAGCTCTGTAAGAGGGTTACCCCCGAACTTACCGCAAGCCATTCCCATGACCGGAGAAGCAGGTCCGGTGACCTGTTATGTTGGGAGACCTACAGAAAATAATACAAGCAGATGTGGCCCAATTACGCACCGACCTTACTGGCCTGGTCAGCCGTATAGGGGTGGTGGAGACCTCAACAGACAAAAATACACAAGCCATATCGGAGCTCCATGCTGAGATAAAGATGCTGAAGCTGCAGCAGGCCAAACACGAGCAGCGCTTTGCAATGATGGAGGACCACCGAGTCGCAATAATCTGAAGGTCAGAGGGATCCCTGAGGACATCCCAGCAGTGGAACTCCCACACCTAATGCGCAGACTAATGGGCACACTCTTGGCGCCTAAACAAGCCAGAAATGCCCCTTTAGGGTATCAGCCCCCAGAGACCTCGTGGTGAAATATCGCAACTCAGCAGACAAAATAGCTGTCCAGGCTGCTCTCAGGGGAAACACCCCACCCAACTTCGAGAACATGACCCTGTCCTTCTTTGCAGACCTGTCGGGCGACACTCTCCAATGGAGGAGGACACTACAGCCTGTTACAGTGCTGCTCTACAACACAACATCAGCTACCGCTGGCACTCACCACAAGCACTGCAGATCTTGAAAGACGACATCGTCCACTCCATCTCGGACTTGCAGGGAGCTGCTGCACTGATGCATTCACTTAACCTGCCCACAGACTCCCTACCACTCCCCTGCCAGACGGAGCCAGCTCCAACGGGACACCACTGGAATCCAGTGATGGACATACCGTTTGTACCTAACACCACAAGGCCTACCCCGTACGCGGCTGTCACCACCTGAATCAGGGAACCTCCTTGCCATTGCCAACCTCCCTACTAAAGGGAACTCACATCCTTACAAGGCCGGCACCGGTAAACTTTGATCTCACTTATTTTTTATTTATTATTATTACTTTTTATTTTTGATTGTCTTCTACAACACCACTCACCAGATGAAGGCATCAGGGCCCATCAACACGGGATCCTTAGGACTTAGAACAGTGACAGAGGTGCGAAGATGGCAATTTTTTTTTTTTTTATATCATCATCCTGATCATGCAGCTTGAGAACTCTTCGCCACTTACTGTTGACGCCAAGACCCGCCAGGGTGCTTTTTGCAGCCATCAGCACTCGACCTAAGGAACTCACCTGCTGCTGCTAACTTTCTGGCTAATGGGGACTCAGGGCAATGTAGTGCATTTATAATGTTAACCTTTTTATTTTTTCCATTTTCTCTGGATCAAAACCCTTACCTATAATCTAGGGCACCCAACCCACCAGATTATGTTTCTTAACAGAATCTAGCCCTGAGAGCCTGCATTCCCCTCCCCCGTCCCTCCCCCCCTCCTACCTCCCACTCCCCAGTATGGAATAGAACCCACACAAACCACGCAGAGGTACAGGAGGTGCATTTGTAAACCTTTCTATAAGTCCACAGTATAGCAGGTTGCCCTTCACTCACTAGATGGCCTGCACTGAGTCACAACATGACAACAGACTACATTGCAAAGCGAAGCCACTACAAGGTTAATGCTGGAGTCTCCCTTAGATTTAGTCCTACCAGATATCTTTTAATATTGTATCCTTGGCCTAACACATCCAACGATCAACGACACAACAGAAGGTCCCAATCGCACTTACCTAGCACCATCACTAGCACTCATTTAGAACATTCACGGCCGAGATGCGAGGATCTATACCCAACTCGATCCCTAGCAAACATAAAATAACAAAACCCACAGCTCCTTGGCTACATCACTTTGAGATGTATTGTATGACTTCATGTTGACACTAATGGATGCCTTGTTTGAAATCTCATATGTTATTTACCTGTCCGACCTCATGTTCGAGGGCTGTGAATAAATAAAGAATGACAAAATTATAATTTTGTAGTTAAATCACGTTATCTATGCAGCCAGAGCAACACCTCTCTTTCTGTGACTCACACAGGCTCCCGACACACCATCTGAAAGAAAGACCATTTTTAAAGATTCTCTTATTGCATAGTTGTTTACTTTTAAAGTTCCTATTTTTTCGTTTTTAGACTAGAAGATCTCGAGCTTGAGCGCTGCACCGGGACCCACCGCATGGCAGGTTATTTGAGCTGTTGTCCATTCTCAGTACTGTCTTGTACCTCGTTTTTTTCTCTTCCCAAGTTTAAAAGGTAATCCAGATGTGGACCCCTTGCTCATGGTGCCTTGAGGGATATCGGCTATACATCACTGGCGATGCCTAACGAGGTTGAAGCAATCGTCTAGGGTTGCTGTATCTCTTGTGCAGAGAGAGACAGCAGGCATTTTGGAGCAGTTTAGTCGTCCTTTTGGGTGGGATCAGTCTGATATGAAACTGGCCTGGTTATTTTTGTAATGGCACCAGACGAGCTAAAACCTGCTTGAGATCTGATTGGGGACCCACTGAAAGGCAGGCTATTTGAGCTGTTAACCATTCTCAGTACTATCTTGCGCTTTGTTTTTTGTTATCTTCTAGTCTTTTATCATCTAAAAGTATGATGAACAAATACACAGAGGGAAGTGAGTATACCAAAAGGGGTGGAAAGTTTGTTTGGCAGGAGGGAGATGAGTAGACGGGAGACAGCAGGGGTTGGTTGTATGGGATGAGAAGTTAAGGGGTGGGGTGATAGGCTTCTCCAAATAAGTATGATTTTAAACAATTTTTTGATGGACATCAACAAAAACGGACCACCAGTGCTCCAAAGTATTTAAAACATAAAGGTGTTTATCCTCACCCTCTTTGGCTCATTGGTTGAAAGTGTCAGAACCGCACCCTGCAAACAATGGGCTTAACTCAGAGCTGAGAGCTTCTGGTTGTCATGGAGGCAGGCCACCCAATGTACACCAGGTAAGAAGTCAAACCATTAGAAAATGATTGAAATACTTACATTGGGAGTGTGCCATGATACTCCAGGCACAATAAACTAGACAGAGCAGCATAGTGGTTATAACGCTTGACCTGTTCTTTTAAGAGTTGTTTTCTGTTAAGTTGAACCGCCATGACAGCTCAGACAGGTGTGAGAGCTGAAGTTAGGTGTCAATCAGCCAATATACACTACCAGCCAGCTGTCCAATTATATATTTTCCTGATTCATCAAGAAAATAAAGAATGAACATCTATTTTGGGACATTATATAATTGAGAACTTGGAATCACTGTGCATTTCTATAAAAAAATAGTGAATCAGGCATTTAGTAAGCCAAAGCATTTCCCTTCCATACTTTATCATGCCACAGTATGAAGAAAAAAAATTAAACTACTAACCACATCTTATATTAAAAAAATTAATTGAACAGCAAAATAATATATGTCACCCAAGAGACAGAAGTTAAAAATAAAAGTCTGCATTCTACAAACAATACAGTCAAGTCTGTAAATATAATCATAAAACAAGCAAATAGTAAAGCATGTCCATCCTCCCCTCCCCCCGATCGGCTTGGGTCCCCAATACTATTATTATAAAAGAATAACCCTACACTAATACCAAAAAAAATGAAGTCAATAAAACTAATACTTACTCATTGTTTTAAAATCATACTTACCCATCAGAAGTCTTCTTTCTTTCAATGCTCCTTATGCTCAGCCCAAAAACCCTGATGCAATGAATTAAAATAAAATAAAATCCTGAATTGCAAAAATCAAAAAACAGCCAGAAAAAAACCCACAAAAAAACTCAAGGCAATAAAATTAATTCATCTTTGTCCATGGAGGGCTTTCATCAGACTAAGTTCTGGGCTCTAGGAAGACTTTATATAGACACTATATAAATTACAATTACATTGCATGGAAAAATGTCCCATGCTATGTAATAATATGAAGTGTGCTCTGATTAGTTGGCTAGTAAACCAACCAATCAGAGCTCTCTCACAGCCACGATTTGAGAGAATTGAGACTTAGTTGGGAAGATGGACATTGTTTAATTAATCAGCGTTCCCTCTCACTGCCCATGTGAAGGACACTAGGATCCCCACCTGAATATTATATTAACACTCTCTTGCTGACCACAGATCGGGTCAGGAGGGACGTAAGGATGTCCCCATGTTTATGTTAAATAAATATTTTCACCCCACAGGTGTGGACAGGGATGTCTGCAGCACAGCAAGTGGTGGCATAGGAAGATTTTAAACTTCCCTTATTGTAATATAGGGGTCTTATTCAGGTCAGGTGCAAGAATATTTTGTGCCCTAGGCAAGACCATCCACTTTGCGTGTCTCTTTCTTCTCCCAGCCCCTCTGTGTCTCTTTCTCACCTTCAACAACTCTCTGTGTCTCTCTTGCCCCCAGCACCTTAGTGGGTATCTTTCTCCTCCTCAGCCCCTCTATGTGTCTCTTCTCCCCTCAGCCTTCTGTATGTCTCGCCCCTCAGCTCTTTCTGTTCCTCACCCCCAGCCCTCTGTGTGCCTCTCCCCTGCCAGCGCCTCCATGTTTTTAATTAATCCCCCTGTCTTTCCCTGTGTCTCTTTAACTCCTCCAGCACCTCCATATGTTTAATTAATCCCCAGACCCTCCATGTGTCTCCTTAACCCCTGAGCCCCTCCATGTGTCTCCTTAACCCCCTCCATGTGTCTCCTTAACCTTCAGTTCCTCCTTAAATCCCGGCACCTCCATGTGTCTCATTAATCCCCCAGCTCCTCCATGTGTCTCCTTAACCCCCTCCATGTGTCTCCTTAACCTTCAGTTCCTCCTTAAATCCCGGCACCTCCATGTGTCTCATTAATCCCCCAGCTCCCCCTGTGTCTCCTTAACACCCTCAGCCCCGCCATGTGTCTCCTTAACCCCGCAGCTCACCCCATGTGTCTCCTAAACCCCCAGCCCATCCCATGTGCTAACACCCAGCACCTCCATGTACCTAATTACCCACCCCAGCCCTTCCATGTGTCTCTTTAACCCCCTAGCCCTTCCTTAACCCCCATGTGTCTCATTGTGTCTCATTAACCCCCCCCAGTCTCCTTAACCCCTCACCCTCTCATATGTCTTGTTAACTCCCCAGCCACTCCATATATCTCATTAATCTCCCAGCCCCTCCATGTGTCTTCTTAAGAGATTCTAAATCATGGTGGCCGACAATTAGAATTTTGGTCGATCAGCTAATTGGCCTGAATTTGGATGAATTACATTTCGGCCTGAAACAAATCCTTATAATCTAGTAATAACCATTATCTTGGTTTCCCACCTGGCCCACTCATCATATCTTACTCCTCTAATATGCTTTCACCTACCCCAATCTCATCTCCTTTCTCCAGCAATCTTTAATTCTCTATCCCATATTCGTTTTCCCTTTCTTCATTGCTGACTTATCACACTTCTGCTTTCCTCTCCATGATCTCTTCTATTTTGTATTTCACATTTTTCACCTCCCTTATTTCATTTCACTACTCTCTTCAACAGACCCAATTCCATCTGCCTTATCCTATATCCGGTTTTGCCCTTTTGATCCTGTGCTTCTCCTTTCATCCTGTTCACATCTACCTTCCTTTATTCTGTCACCTCATCTGCCACTTTTGCCTCCTGGATTTAATTCCTCTCAGCTGTGGAGTATGAGGAAGTTTTAGCCAAGTGGCGATTAATATTATGTACTTTTTCTTTGTCTATCAATGGTCGCCTGGCTTAGCCTCCCTCATACTATTCTGTAGAGACGAACAGAAGCCAGGAGGCAGAGGTGTTGTGTACCAGAGTATCAACTTCTGGGTTAATCTGTAGCCAAACTATTTAACCCCCTGAAGGTTAGAAGGCACCCAGACACTACTGCCACCATAACAACTTAAATTAA